AGACTGGAAAACATGGAAAACGAGGCAATGGTATTATTCTTGGATGCACTAGAGCAGCGGTTCTCAAAATTTTTCGCCTTGGCACCCTTGTCGGACAAAAATGTTTCGCGGCACATCTACCCTTAAAGCGGTTGAATACACAAGGGAAGAAATTGAAAAGCGCAGATTTAAGGTTCAGTGGTCTTTAATGCGATAAATGAAACTGTTTAGAAGAATTTTGCATTACATTTTTTTAAATTTATTTTTTATTTTTAGAAATTCTTTCCATCGTGGATGACCCTGCCTGAATCGATAAAGCACGGCGTTTGAAGATTTCTTATCCTTTATGTACTAAATCAGAATGATTGCATTCGTGATGTCTCTGTAATTTAGACGGAACCAAGCAGCCGTTATCAACACTTCTACGGCAGTTGAAGCATTGCCCTTCAGGTGCCTGTTCGTTCCCAACCGAAACAAAGCCAAAGAAAGTTAGGATAATATTTTCTGAGTTTTCCTCGGATTTTCTTTTGGTCGTGAGTTGCTTTTCCGCGAACTGAGGCAGGCCACGTCCAGCTGTATAAATCTGGAGCTGGCCGTGGGCAGGCCAACCAGGTAACCATTGGCTGGATTCCAGCTCACGTAGGTATCGAAGGCAACGAAGCAGCAGACAGAGCGGCAAAAAGAAGCACCAGCAGCCCTAACACAGTGTACACGGGACTGGGCAAAACAGAACAAAAAGCAGTCATCAGAAACAACATCTGCAGAGAGTGGTCCCTGCAGTGGTCGACCAGCGATAAAGGCAGAGTCGCCTACAAATTACTCAAAAAACCCGGTCTCGAGAACCAAGTGCAAGCGCCGACGAAAATACCTGTCATCCGCAAGCTGTGGAAGATGCGACTAGGGTGTTGGCCAGACCGATCCCGCAGGCCTGTATGTCAGGAATGCAGGGCCAACAACTCTATGGAACACTTCCTGTTGAACTGTAAAACCTACGAACCTGAAAGACAAGAGCTTGTGTTACACTTTACAGCAAGAAACGAACCAATGACTGTCGAAAACTGCCTCAGCGTGAGCGCTGAGGACCAGATTCAGCGACTTGTCAAGAAGTTTATTTCAAGAACAGGGAAAGTGATCTGAGAAGCCACCCCTCAACCCAGAGCTGTACAACCCGATGGGACCTGATCAGATCCTGCGAGTACCAGTGGCACCTGCCAGGACAGACTATCCTTCCCCTCACTCTTGCGACCTCGCTTTATGTCCTCTGAAGCATTTAAGTACTCTAAACCTATGCTACTCCCACTGTCTCTACCTGTCCGCTGGCGAATAACATCGTAAATGCCAAAGTTGTAACACAAATCTTAAATTAGTATATTTTCAGGAGGAACTAGACAACGGAACCAACCAAAGGCCACCCGACGCTCTGAAGCAGCTAGCCAAGGGCATTGCACCAAAGGGGACCAGCACTAGGGAATTCCATTCTAACTTACGCCACCTAACCCCACACCACATGTATTTAAAACAATGCCTTTCAGTCCTATTTCAGACCCTGCCCTAAGGACGAATACCAGCGTGAAGGCCTAAATGATTACAAAATCTTTAATTAACATTCTTTCAGGCAGAAGTTGACAACGGAAACCACCAAAGGCCACCCGACGTTCTGAAGCAGACTGCTGAAGACATTGCACCAAAGGGGACCAGCATTCGGAAATTCTATACTCTCTTACGCCACCCCACCCCCAAATCACATGAACGTTAACAATGCCTTCAGTTTTATTTCATTGTACGAATTGGAATTGGGGCAGGCCAACTTAGATGGCTTAGGCTCGCAGGTGTCCGCTGAGATAATGTAACCATAACTTTACTTAAAGACTGCCCCTTAACGAATTCAAGTAGAGGATCGGTCGCAGTTCAAGATAAATACAAGGATAATTCTTAGCGTCACGGTTGGCATTTTATACAGTATGAAACACGACTGAGTGTGAAACAAATAATACTCTTTTCGACAGCGGCGAGGAAAGACATATTTTTACCTCTTAAGTATCTGCATGCCTTCTTTAACAGTTTTACAATGTTTAGCCGACTTTCTTAAATACTGCCGTGGCACCCAGTTTGAGAACCTCTGCACTAGAGACAGCTTCTGTAAATCCACGCGATACCTCCTGGATTTTCCCACAATGAAAAACAGAATCAAGCTATCACATTTTTAATACATCACATTTATGCAGCATGTTATAATTACTATAAGTTAGATAGCAACCAAACACTGCTCCGTTAAAATGTTTACTAACAAATTAAAACTACAGAATAAAACTAAAAGCAGAAAACACAGTGACTAATTTGGTAAGCCATCTGCATTTAGCCATCGGCAAACCCAGGACATAACGCATGGCGTTGCAGGATGTGACTTTTGTGCAGCCGAGTATGAGTCTCATGGCTTCATTTTGTACTCGGTCCAGTCTTTCTAGCTGGGTTTTGCTGACAGTGAGGAGGCCAAGACCATAGTCAATGACGCTAACCACAAGCCCTTGATAGAGAAGGAAAAGTAGGCGTTGTTCAATATCAGCTGCTGCTAGCACCTTGAGTGCCGTCAGACCTTTTCTGGCTCTAAGTATGACGTTGTCTACGTGGCATTTGTATGACAAGCATCTGTCAAATGTCATGCCCAGGTATTTCATGGTGTCCGTTCTCTCGATGTCCACACCACATATGCTTACGACTGGCGTTGGTGTACTGATGATGTGAGTATTTAGAGAGAACCATGTTAAGGAGGCTTTGGGCGGGTTCACTTGAGCTCTTGATTCCTGGCACCACTCACTAAGTCTGTCCAGTTCGTGTTGTAGTGTGGTTGTAATTTCCTGCCTGTTTCTACCTCGACGGTAAACAAGGATATCATCTGCATACGATATTGTTCTACCTAGACCTACGCTTTGTGCACTCGTGACTCCTGCTGTGTACACATTGAAGAGCACAGGCGACAATGGTGATCCCTGTGGCAGACCCAATAGGACGCGTTAAGGTTCGGATGCCCATTTACCACATCGAAGCGACACTGTTCTTTCAAAAAACGCTGCTGCGATCCAGTTGACCAACTTTGTTTCTATCTGCATATCCAACAGCAGTCTGATGAGCATGTTGTATGGGACGCTGTTGTACGCATCTTCTAAGTCAATAGCGGCTGCAGCAGTTTCCATTCCCTCCTGGAAACCCTCATATGTGTCGTAAGCAAACACTGCAGCATTGTACCATGTATCTCTTCCTGGTCGGTAACCACCTAGTTTTAGCGGGGAATAGGCCACCTGACTCTATGTTTGGGTCAACGTTCTGGCCACGATTTTTTCCATGAGTTTTCCAATAGTGTTCTGAAGTGTTATGATCCTTTAGCCATTTATTCTCGTGTGGTCTTTCCCTGGCTTAGGAACTGGTCTGAGGTAGCTGTGGAGCCAGTCATCAGGAATAATGCCAGTTTTCATGGTGTTGTTAAAAATCGTGGATAGTTCATCCATATCTGTCATATCAAGGCTTTTGAAGTCGCTGTATCTAATGCCATCAGGCCCTGGAGCGGTGTCTGGACAGGTCTTCAGTGTTGCTCTGATGCATTCCGTTGAGATGTATACTGTATCATCGTCTTCCTCGATTTCAACCATCTGGATATCATGTAAACTCTGTTTCATCTGCTCCCTACCTTCCCTGTATTTCTTTTCCGTCTGCAGGAGAAATCTGTGCAGGATAGCCTCCCCTTTGTCTTTATCCGATTTTAACACCACCCCGTTGTCCATCTTTAGCTCGGGCATAACAGAGGTTTGTTTGCCTCCGTTCATCTTTTGGTGGAGCCGCCAGAATTTTCTGAGAGATTTCTCGTAACCTATTTCTTGGCAAAAATGTTCCTACATTGTGTGCTTAGACTCCTTTGCGAGTTGTTCAAAATTTTCAGTGAGTCTGTCTTTTTTGTGTTTAATGTCTTGTTTCTGAGCCTTAGTAAAATTCGAAGACTTTCTGCATTTCTCCCAGTCTTTGATGGCACCTCGTTTCTCTGTCCAGGCTTCTGCGACTTCAGGAGTCCACCATGGGGGTTGTTGAAAGATAGCTTTCTTCTTTCCCGGTGTTCTGCGTGACCTGTCTCGCAGACGCCCAATTACATCAGGATGATTTGCAGCATACTGGAAAGTAGTGGCTGGTCTCTGATACCTTGTGCAGATTGTTTTTTTTTGGACCAGAATCCATCATGGAAGGTGGTCGCTTCCATGATGTCCCAGTACGCCCCACTGAAAGAGTGCAGTCATACTGGGAGAGACCAGCGTGAGATCAAGGGCACTGTCAGTATCACCTTCTCTGTCAGGGATTCTGGTGGGTCTGCCATCATTGAAGCAGATTAAATTCGTGTCTGTTAGTGGTTCCTCCAGTGCCTCGTCCTGTTTATTGACCGTCGGATTGCCCCATAGACGACCTTTGGCATTGAAGTCCCCACACATAATGATGTCGGTGGTTATCTGCTCGCATATGTCACCTAAAATTGTCCACTTTTCTTTGTCAACTTTATCATTACAGGCATAGATGTTGATAGTGTGAAAAGTTTACTTCCGTCTACCTTTACGGTCTGAACCTGAATTTCGTTGTTATTCCATGCACTCGTGTCTACAACTGAGGATGTTATTATCTCTGTGTGTCTTTCTCACTCACACTCTATCTCTCGCCCCTTCCTCTCGCCGCACAGTTGCCACAGTGGGGCTAATAGCCATATGCACAGTATGGCTGTAGTAGCATGCCTACACTAGTGTCTGCTAAATAAATTGACTACTCTGACTAATCCAGAAACACATGTACATAAAAAAATATATATATATATACATGTTGCCGGTAAATTAAAACTGTAACATTTCATTATATTCAGATATTTCACTTGGGCTGCGGCGCGGAGAGTATGGTATTAACTGTCTAAAACTGCTCGACAGCGCATGCGCAATATATATGAAAATAAGGAATATGGCGATTCCATAAAATTAAAAGAACATAGTCTGTGGACAATGGCAACACAAAAGCCAGGAGAATGGGTGAATTCTCTTATAGCAAGATTTGATGCACAGGCAAGTAGACTGTTGAAATGTCGCGTCAGCTGTTGCATATATGTTTGGTGGTTAATGAAAAGCAGATGCAAATAGGCGTATCTGTTCTATAAAGTGTAGGAAAGGCTTGGAGTTCTAGCACTGATCCTCCTGGAACAGCAGCCAGGCTGCATAACCACTGAAAGCAGTAGTGAGTACTCACTATTATTAGTGTGTTTAAAAAACAAACTGATTTCATTTGTTGAGTTATGTTTATCAGCAAATAACAGTGTAAACATGACAGTCGTGGGTAATTGTAATAGTCTGGAGATGATATAAAATTAGAAACATCAAAAAGAAGAATGTCGTAGACATATTATTATTAATATTATTACTAAAATAAAATTATCTTAGATGTATGATCTATAATTATTAATTAATTATCAATAGGCTCTCCTCCGAACTTCTACCCCCACATTATGGCGGCCTGAAATATCCTTACAGGGCTCAGTCCAATTGAAAATATGCGAACTTCAGATGATGAACGAATCGCGGCAAAACTAGGATCGGCTCCGTATAGTGAAACAAATGCTCTAACAGGGTCTCAGCGATATGTTAATTGCGGACCTGTTTCTTATTGTTTCTGATTACCTGACAGTTTTAAGAGGCGCAACACTGCAGACGATAATAGCGACCGTTGACACCTTCGAGTGTTTCTGCAGTCGATAAAAGCGACATGGCGGGGAGAGCACGTGCGCCGACGCAGATTAGCGTCGTTGTTGTCCTCAGACCTTTCGACATGCGCAAAACGCGGTTACACTCACCGCCGAGGGTATCCCCCGCGCCGCTGGGGCGCAGATGGGGGCGCTAAACTAGATGCCTGGGACTCACGAGCAAATTGGAGGAAGCTGCAGGAGATGCGGTAGCTGCTGCTTGTGAATCCCAGCCATCTAGTTTAGCCCCCATCCGCGCCGCGCGTAGCGTATAGGGGGATACGGTCGGCGGTGAGGCATAGTCAAGGAAAACAGGTCCACAATTAACATCAAAGATCCAAGATATTTTATTATATACCTTACAACAGTAAAGTAAACATTTGCAAAATGAAACCCTGGTTCTTTATTTATTAATCAAATTCTTTTATAGGTGTTGCTCATTTGGCCACAAGTGCGCCTTGTGACATACTGTATACGCAGGACTACCCACCATTTAACAGTACTAACACTGTATTGTACACACTAACTGTTGAGACACAATCATTCATCATAATTTTTTTTTTTTACTGCTACATATATGCAGTACTAATATTGAAATATATCGAATTATATGGTGTATAAAAAATTTTTTGTGTGACTCGTTTGGTACTATATTTTATGCTTTTCCACATTTCTGAATAAACCTAATGGAACACCTGTGTTGTGTTATTGATTACAAAGAACCAGAAAGACCGATCAGAGGAGTGGATTTGTATGGATTGGATTAAACATGATTTTGTTTCTTGTCTCACCAGTAAAATCAAATTGCTTATGAAATATAAACTAATAAAACCTAATTTATTTTCACATGTTCACAATAGTGAAAACCCATTCTATTACTGTCTGTATTTATCAGTTTTTTTTTTTCTTGGGTGTAGGCTGAGGGAAGTTTTTGAGTAAGGATTTAGGGCATATGCTAGTGCTGTTGTCACAGACCATATGGCTTATTATTTTATTTTTGCCACCTACACACACAAACAAATCCCCAAACTTGCTGAGGACTCAAACTGAATTCTCTGGCTTGAGAGTCCAGCATTTTAACCATTTATCAGCTGCTCTTCGGATGTATACACAGTAGTGGGTGCACATCTTTAAGACTGTGCTTTCCCTGTATTATTTTGTGTTTGTATGTGTGTGTGTACGTGCACATGTCTGCCTATGTGTGTGTGTGTGTATGTTTTAAAAAACATAAAAAAAAAATTCTTAAACTCTTGAGAGTTGTAAAGGGAATACTTTTTCTGAAATGTTTTATTCAATTATACTGCTTCTTATGTTTGTGTGTGCTCCAGACACTAAAAGTTTAATTATATGTGGAAGCAGTAATTCTTTATCACATGATGCACCATAGGCTCATTAACTTCTGCATACATCACAGTCTTCCGTTATTCAGTTTGTCGTTTTAGTAACTAGATTCCTCGCTCAAAGTGAGTAAACATTAAGTTACAGGGCAAGCAGGGGATAATAACCTCCCTTTGAGTCATCAGTTGAATTACAAGAGAAGCTACAAGAGAATAGGTTTATAAAACATCTTGTCTTGTTTAAAAGTTACAGAGACTCACAGTCCATGGCAATGGTGAGTGTGACTAGCAAGACCCGCTCATGTTAAGAAAAGTCTTCTACAATGATAGCATGGGATTTCAGGACCATTGTTGTCAACATTTGTGTTTAATCCGTTTCTTTTCAGACGCTCAGCTCTCATCCTTTCTGCAATAATTTTTTCCTTCACTCTCATTCCCTTCCTCATATGCCCTTTCCACACAACATGGTCCATGGCATTTTGTTCCCATGAGTCCACCTCAATATCTGTACCATTCATGTCCCACTTGCACACATCTTTATACCGTAGTAGAGGTCTGCCTTGACATCTTCTACCCGCCTTTAATTCACCATTAAGGATGTCCTTAGGGACTCTCCCATCCTCCATTCTCCAGGTGTGACCCAGCCACCTGAGCCTTTGTAGACGGAGCATGGAAAAGACTGTTGTAGTACCTGCTCTTTCCAGTACCTCGGTGTTTGTGATTTTGTCCTACCACTTAATGCCAAGTATTTTTGTTTGGCATTGCATGTGAAAGCTATTTAGCCATCTCTCCTGGTGCAAATAGTTGACCAAGTTTTACTGCCATGAAGCAGAGAAATAAAGCACTATATGTATTTGTCATTTATATTACATTTGTGTGGTAATGTCATAACCCCAGAGAATACACACAGTCTTATATATTATTGCATATTACCATTGTCAGCATTAATGTCAACTGCTGTACACATTGGCAATCACTGATGCAGAAAAAAACAACAACAGGTGGACATATAAGACCTCATCACAATAGAAAGCTTGGTTATATCCCAATACCACCCCCCCCCCCCCCAACCCAAACAGAAAGTCAAATATTTTAGGGTGTGGTAGATAAGCTGCATGTAGCCATGGGGCCTAGGCTACTCTCTCTCTCTCTCGTGGGACATAGGTGTGTTGGGGTTACGCACAGTTCTAGATGTTTTGGGGTAGTTAAAAGCATCAGAAAGCCAGGAAACCCGCTTCTACCACCCTAAAAAATATTGGACTGTCCTATGTCGTCATCCTGGGGTGGAAATATTTGGAAAGCACTAAAAGCTTTAGTTACCACATCAGTGATTGACAACCTGATGTCTGTAGATGATGAAAATGCCTGGCTATGGCACATGGCCAGTTAGACACCACTGGAGATGATATCATCATTAGCAAGGTCAGGTGATCGATTGTGGTCAGCTATAATAAGAACTGTGAAGACTCATGGACATATATCGCCTTAAAGATTTTAGATGCAGGGGTCCTGGTCAGTAAAATGAGTAAACTGATTTGCTGGTCACAAGGGCATCAGTTTGTGAAAACCCTGAGAATGGACAAAGGATATGTAGCTCGTTTGTTATATATGATGGGTTGATGAGGTCAGATACAGCTTGACTAACATTTCATCACTGTACTTCATTGGGCAAAGATATAGAGATGGAGTTGGAAGGATACTGACTTTTGCGGATGATATATTTGCATATAGGCAGGGAGAAGAGAGGGAACAAACAGCCAGGAACTCTTCACTGGCTAATGAAGATGCAGACGGAACGCTTATGGGAATGCCCAGAGAGCTGTGATGTCGGTTTTTGAATCAGCTCAACTCAACTCACCTATACAGAGAATACTTAGGCATATTTATTAGCACTGTGCTCAGAAACAGTCAGTAGCTCTACACCTAAACATCTGCTGGAAGAAACCAGGAGCTCAAATGGATATGTCTGGAGTGTAATGATATTAATTCTGGTTTATCAATTATTTTTCTGCCATTGATTCCCCAGTGAAGTGTAAGCCCTCAGCCAGCTTCTAAAGTTGTCCTTCATTGTTTTGTTTATTTGGCTGCTGAAGCTTTTTTATATTTTGAGGAAGCAACCAAAAGCCCAGCCATACCTTTCTTTACCTCTTACAGCATGCTCGGTAGGGTGCAGCGATACTACTCTTTGCTTTACTTAAGGATGCCAATAGCATGCAAGCTAGTTATTCAATTAAGCAGTTATTACTTTATACTTTGGAGTGAAAGTAAATAATTAATTTATATTTGCATACCATCAGTGTTGTATTGCGCACTACTTATTCCTAATGTCTTTTCAGTTACCTGTATCCATGATCTTAAAGATTACAATATTCTTCTTCTTCTTTGTGTACACCAGCTGTAAACTCTGGTGGAAAGTTCTGGTTGTTCGTCCACTTCTGGACTGCAGTCCTGTTCCAGAACCTGTGTATTGTGTGTGCATCCGTTTGACAGATCTGACACATTTGTTTGCAGACTGTTGGTTCCTTGCCTCTCAGGCAGATGCACTTCAACTTCAAACGAATTAGTAGACTCTTACAACATGCTTTTGGGTAGGCAGTGAGTCTATTCTTGTTTTCCCTATAATAGGGCCCTAGAACCCACACTGGGGATTACATTAATTAAAATACATGTATATTGAAACATGTTAGTGACAAGTAGAAAACATTAACAAAAAAAAAAAAAAAAAAGAAATTAATACATATTGACTTCTTAAGATGTTATAACACATTGAATCATCAACATCATGTGTCATACTGAGCAGCACATGTTCTGTCATAGCTAGCATTTATTCCCTCTATCAGTTTGATGTCATGTTAATTCCCCCTCCCCCCTCCCCCCATGACTTAACATATTTGTTTATTTATGTTATATTTAAATTGGTTTCTTTTTGGACTTACAGATACAATCTTTCATTTGCACATATTTTATAATTAGCATCATGTGGTAGTTTCCTTGTTCAAGATTTATTGTATTTGAACAGCTGCCGATCAAAACTGGCCTTCATACAACCCAGTCGATGCAGAATGTTAAACAGAACAAAGAAAGCCTAGTGAATGTCAGCAAATACAAATTTTCTTTGGTTATCAATGGATTGACAAAGACTCTTCAGAGTCTTTTACAGTTTGTGAGTACTTTGTGTTTTACATCTACATCTATATTTGTGTAATAGTTGCCATTGAGTTTACTTGCTTTAGTTTACCTTAATTGCCATTAAGGTTTTAGGTTCGTATCCTCATTGAGGCAGCTTGTTATAATTAGCCTAGGGCTCTAAGGTTTAACCCCATCTAAAACAGGTACTGGAAATGTCATAGAAAGTCAAGAGAGACAACTGGCTTGATAATGATAACATAACCTTTGAAGGGTCGGCTGATCAATAACAATTCTTGGTCTTGCACCATATGCCCGATGTGCTGGAGACATGAAATAGTCATTGACTTGTTTAGTTTGTTTACCATCTCAGTTGCTTGCAATGTACATTAATGTTCCATTGCATGAATTAAACCTGTTCACAGTTTGACAGTTGTTGCCTGTTTGCTTTTCGTAGGGGGGAGGGGGTGGGGGGGAGTCTGAGATACTTTAAGCTTGCCTGGTTCGGTGTGTCACTAACATTACTATTCCCCATCGTCCCCCACAATACAGCCTGAGGGTTGAACATGGTTTCTGGGACCTCTCCACAGGTGATCCTCATCCGCATGGTGGCACTTGTGTCACCGGGTGTTTATCGCTCTGTGTGATGTCCTAGGGGGAAAAAAATGTACTTACTTAGTATGTCACATGCCATGAAACCCTTTCAGAAATATTCCTCCTAGGGTCAGTTAAAGGCACACAGAAGAGAGGAATGTTAGAAAACAAGGGAGGTCCCTGATTGTTGATGTTTCTGTCATAGGCAGTAGGCACACCTACAGACTACTTGGGTTCTGAGGTTATGAGATCAGTTTGACTATTATTAAAAAAAGAAGGTAGTATTCTGCGTAGATCTCACCATGTAACAAACATGTAACAATTGACACCCAAAGAGCACTATTCAATATAATATAATATTGTTACCACCATTGGGTTACAAGTGCCAAACGTAGACATTTAACAACAAAAGAAAAAGGAAAAGTCTGAGCAGAAGTTGTGCTCACCGACTTACGTTTTGGTTTGCAGTTATTAAATTCTTTGAATCTAAGATGGCTAATCCAGTCAGCAAATGTCTAAAGTTTTATGTATTGGCCAGTAGGTGCAGACATTGTGGCTGTGCTATAGACATGATGCAATTTCATCCAGCAATAATAAGAAAATATTTATGAAAAATAATTAGGAAATTGTTTAGACAGACATTTTTGCATAATCACTTTGTTAAAAGTAGGGTCACCATATTGCAATCTTACTTTCTACCAAATTTTGTCTTGCAACAGAAAGTGAATCGCCCAGAAGCAGAGCGAAATTACCTTGAATCCCAGCTCATCATTTTGGATACCTTGAAGCAAGTTCTCAATTCTGTGAGTGAAAACGTTTTTTTTAAACCTTTTTTACATAGTTGTTTTAACAAAATTAACTAAATATTAAGCTAGCTGTAATTTGCTTTATACTGCAGAGAACAGCCTACAATTGAATTTCAACCACCACACAGTGCAGCGGTTGACTTGTACATACCATAACACCAGCAAAACTGGATACGTCTGGACTCACGTGAAGTGCCAACGTTGGTTTTGGTCAGCATCCCAACATGTTCAGATTAAGTAGCTGGTATGGACTACAACACAATTCCAACTGATTCTTGATTCGAACAACACGAAGTTGACAAAACAGATCACCAGAGTACATGTGGACAGGATAGGTCACCTGGGGGTACAGGTAGGGACTAAGTATGGGGAACAGGTGAATAAATAGGAAAATAGTGGGTAGGGAATACAGTGTCCACTCCCTCGCACAGCACTATACGCCATCATTGTTCAGTATTCACACCAGCACTACAGTAAACATGTCCAGCCCCACAGAGGGCCTCCTTATTACATCCCCCTTTACATTGGCACAGCCTTAACTACACCTTAACTACACAAACTTGTATAAAAACAATGTCCATCTATCATTCTGAAGAAAATAAAACAGCTACTGCAGTCATAAAAAAACCAATAACCCTTGATGGAGTACATCGAACACCCCAGGAATCCGACTAAACAGTCCCCAGGATTCCTGGTAAACCACTCCACTGACTGTCATGCCATCTTCCTCATTAGTGTGTAATAAATAGACATTGACGCGAGAGCATGAGAGTCCAACCTTGAAACCACAGCTACAAGTTATTGAGTACTCTCCAATGTAGAAAGTCTTCAGCTCAGCTTCCATTGTTGTCAGGGATGATGGATTGGTGGCAGAATAACTGGTCTTTATTGTCACACTTTCCAGCTTAGGGCGGTTTGGCTTGCCCCTAATTGTTAACCAAGTTCTATCGTAGATTCCAAAACCATTGAACGGTGTCTGAACGCTGGTATATATACACCTAACCCAAGTATGCGATGGACTAGTACATTCAGTGTTTCTCTTAGAAGGTTGCTACACATATGCAGACGAAGATGAATGGGTGATTACAGAGATACTGTCCGTCTAATTCTCCCAAATAACCATTGGTATACCTCCAAGGCGGCATCACCTCGAAGGGCGACACCTAGCCTAGACTTGATGGGAGTCCACAACATAAGACACCTTCGGCCTACGGGCCCACTCCTTGGGTCGTCAGTAGCCTTTAATAAATGCATCCAGCTTTGTGTTCATCATTTGGGTCACCAATAACCTGCAACAGCAGTTATCACTATGTAAGCCAGGCTGCTGTGCTGGGAAGCAGATAAATAATACTGCTATCAAAAGACCTGCAGCATTAAATATGACTGCGAAATATAATCAGTCAAATAAAACAGTGGTCAGATAAAGTGCTTGGCTCTCACCGTCTTGTCTCCACTAAATAATAACATAACATAATATTTCCCTTGACCCATTAGGGTCGTGGAGGTTTATTGATGGAAGCACTAGCACTTAAAACCCATCATCTTTCTCTGTCTTCTAATTGATAAATAAGTGTCTGATAACTTAGGCCTGTCCATTTCTTGATGTTGTCATTCCAGTTTCTTCTTTGCCCTCCTCTTCTTGGACTACCCCCAAATGTTCCTTGAAGTAGTCTTTGCAATCGAATCATGTCTCACCTTATGCCCAAACCAAGCTAGCTTGCGACGTTTCACCACTGCCAAGAGATACTCCTGATGTACCGCAAATATGGTTATTTTGTCTCTGACATATGTCTCTGACATATTTATTAGTTTCGTGTTCTAAATAACTAATTTGTAAAATGCGTCTGTGGCATTTACATTCGAAATCCTGAATCCTCCTTTCCATTTCCACACTGAGAGTCCAACTCTCACATCAGTGTAAGAAAATAGACAACACCAGTGATTTGTAAATATTGACCTTGACTGCGATGCTGATTTTGCTCTTCCACATAGTATTCAGCTGTGACATCGTGGCTGTTGCCATATCAAGTAAATACACTCAGTTGGAGCATTTCAAATAATTCCCCAAAGTCTAATGAAAAGTCTAAATAAACTGTCTAGCAAAATAAAATAGTACACATAATTACGAATAACGGTCATATACTCCCGCTGTTATCAGTTAATCTCAAGAAACACCTGTCTCACATTTCAAGTAGCGTAGACCTTTTGCGCTCATCTCTGTCATCATCATCTAACATCTTTACGCTAGCATAGGCGATCACGCCTCTGACCTCTGGTACAATTGGACAGCAAAGTGAGATCAACACTGAACTGTTATATAAGTAATATGTATTCACATCATACAGGTTATGTCATGCATTCAGATCATGCATGTACACAACGTGACAATTAAACGAGACTCATTTTATTATAACTAAAACAAGAGTGCTAACGATGAAGCAAAGTATGCCATCCAGTTAGACACCATTCCTCTAGGATCTGGCAAAATTGTAATGTCACCTGTCAGTCAGATGGCAAGTTTCATGCCATTTTGTTTAGCTAGAGAGAGTTGTGTTGTTACGGATGCAGCCAAGGGTTAACATTAATTCTGTTTGAGACTCAGAAAATAGGTTTTGAGACACTTGAAGATAATGGCAATCAGTGTTTATCTCGTGCATGAGGCGGTTTTCACAATTCAAAACTCATGTAAAAATTAAAGATGAAGCTTCGCTGGTTTCTTTTCATAATGATAAATTCATTGCCAGTCGCTTGTTTCTTTTCATAATGATAAAATCGCTGGTTTCTTTTCATAATGATAAATTCATTGCCAGAGTCATAGAACGGATAGGTGAAGACTGATGTTTGTCTGTGAAGATGATGGCAGATGAATATGATGTTGAATTTTATAAATAGACTCATAGACTTTTTTCATTAGTACAGCTGTCTAAAAAGCACTTTTCACTTTTGTTTATTTTTAAGCAACCCAAAGATACAACTCGCTTAGATGAAGCCATGTATGTTAAATTGTTGCTGCCTGAAATTTGCAAGGTAAGTGGTTGATACAGTTAGTCCTGTAATTTTCATGATTGCTGACTTCAGTGTAATCTGATTATGTGTGGGTGGGTGGGTGGGTGGGTGTGTATCTATGCTTGCGTGCCTGTGTACACGCATACACATAAGTCAAACCCATGGTAATGCCATGTAAACGCACACGAATATAGTTGGTAAATATTTTTTAACATGATCAGTAGTGTATCAGTCACTTTACTGTTCCAGAAATTACAAAAAAGAATATACATGTTTGCAGACCCATACACCTTGTGTGCTGTGAGCACATGTGCAGATGGATGAGACGTTGAGTGTGTTTGTGTATGTTTGTTTTTTAGCAGAATATTAAAGGCAGGAAAAAAGTACCGTGGACAGTCAGATGGGTATTGAAGATGATTTAAAAGAAAACAAAATAGAAAAAAGAATTCCTTAATAGTTTCAGCACTGAATTGACTGGTCTTGGTTCATTCTTTGGCAGAAGCTGATTATTTTTCCACTCATTGTGGCTGTGGGATCAATTAAGCCTTTAAAATGATTACCAGGCAGTTTTCTGGGAAATGTCTGGTAAAGAAGAATGATGAGGATAACAACTGGCCATCCCATCTCATATGTCATATATTTGAAGGCCTGACACCCTACAGCAGTGTCAGCATTGGTAATACAATTACATTTTATATTTTAATTCTGAAGTGGTTGATTGGACATTAAACCTTTCCACAAGGGCGATAACTTGCAAACTCGTGCTCAGAATGAAAAAGGAGATGGAAGTTAATGAAAAGATGGATTAATTGGCTGCTGCTGGAATAAATTTCAAAATTGAAACATTATACCCCCTTCCGAAAGAGTATTTATAGCATGTTTGATTATTGTTGATCTGCATTTAATAAATCCAGGTGCTACAGAATTTATCTACTATGTGAAGTTCCTCCTTGTGGGATCTGTGGAAATAGTCCTGTGGAGATCAGTGTGATCCTGTACCATCCTTTAGTTGCTTATAGTTCCTATTTCAGTGGTTTGAATATCTCTTTCATTTCCAGTTCTTAAACCAGCAAACAGACAACCCACAGTTGAAAATTTTGGCATCTGAAGTGCTGTTTGCCCTGAGTCTCAACAACTTTACAGCTGTGTTCAACAAAATCTCAGCAAGGTAAATGAAGAATATTTTTTATAACGCTGATAATTTGTTTAGCTTCCCTTTACTTTGTTTAGGTTCCCTTTACTTTGTTTAGGTTCCCTTCCTTTACAACTTTTAAGATATTGCAGGTAAACACTTTACAGTGCTGTGTGTTTTATTGACTCAGAAATATTAAAAAAAAAATATTTAAATGTTAAGAACATGCAGTAATGGAATAAATGAATCTCCTCCCCGATTCCCCTTTTACACTGCACTTTCATTTGCTTGAAACAAATATTCGATATCTGCAGCACTCTGTCATGTTAAGTTCGCTGTCCATAAAAATGTACTTAACTCTTGTTTCTCAAGGTCAAGTGTGCTGTGACATGTAATATTTTAATGGGCAGTTTTGTGATATGTGTGGACATGAATGTGAACATGAATAATGTGCCAGGTTTAAATATAGCACACATTGGGCTGCAACGTGAATTATGTCCCATTCTGATGTGTAGAGAAGTGATTTATTGTTTGTTCATAATATGGTGATCCACCTATGGCGATATTTGTTGATGGCTTTCTGCATGATTTCATTATAATTTTTTTGGGGGGGGGGGGGGAGGAGGAAGCGCGGGGGGTTAACTACCACATCATGGTACTCTTGTGTTGCGCCTTCCATAGCTCGTTGATCATCTGTCATTTCTAGGTGCTCCACAAGTGAGACCAAATACACAACTGATATTAAAACTGTTCACTATTAGCTTATATATGTGTTAGTGAATCCAGTGGGTTTATAATCAAGGTGTGCTCCTCAGGCTGTACTGTGTTTAGACAGAGGATAAGCCTTCACTGACATCAGACTTATATCAGACTTATGGTGGGATTCTTCACCATCACAGTGGACTTTGGGTGTGAGGGGAGATTTCTGCTCTAAAGCCGCTCCGCTGCAGTGGTCATTTTGTGCATGAAAATTTAGGAATAGACCTGTGGTGAGACAAGGGAAAACTGTAAATAAAACACAATTACCTACTACACCAGCACATCTGTCTGAAGTTTGAAATGTGGGCTTTGGTCCAGTTGCTTCTTTATCATCAAATGCCTTGCCGACTGGTATGGGCGATCATGCTTGTCCACAAATTGGGATGTTCAGCAGCATGTATCATTTTGAGTGCTGACACCACTCCATGGCATGACAAAAGTCTGTCAGGAATCTACTCATGTTATCTTCCTCTGTCTTTCCTCACATGGATCTTCTCATGTTCCAGTTTTCTTCTCATTACATGACCAATAAATAATGACTCTCTTTCTTGTGTTTGGGGTTAGTTGTCTGTGAACCCTCACTTCTTTCAAAACATCTGGTTGTTTTTTGTTTTGTTTTTTTGTGCTGTCAAAGGAATTTTAGGGATTCTTCTGTAAATCACAAAAAAACCTGTCTCAAGAAATTGTTTGGCTTGTTTATTAATTGTTGAGGATTGAGTCATAAGTTAAAACTGACGTTCTATAGCATGCGCTAATTCTTATTTTAAACTCCACTGACATGTATGTATTCTGTAAGGTGATCTTCATTTGATAAATTTAAGGTTAGGCCTGTCATAATCTGTTACGCATCTTCCATCTGATGTTATCCATGTGCCCAAATACTTATATTTCTGTACTTGTCCTAAAATAACACCCTCGACTTTTATTATACTTTTAGACACAGCTATTTTGTTTGATATTACTATTACTTCTGTCTTCCCATTATTCAAGCTGAGGCCTATTTTATCACTGTCGACCACCACCGTATCTATTAATCTCTTAAATTGGTTCTTTATGGTTGCCATAAAGACAGTGTCATCAGCAAAACATAGGTTTTTTTATGTTATAATTACCAACCTCAATTCCTGACATATCCATGATAGTTCTCAATATGTATTCTCTGTATAATGAAAACAGATCAGGTGATAATACACATCCTTGTTGTACACTTCTCCTTATGCTCTGAAATGTTCCCAAATGGTTGGTAATTCTGACAGCTGCTGTTTGCTGCCAATATGTGTTCTTTATTATTCGTAGATCTGTTCCATCAGTGTACAATTTTTATTCTAATAGTTGTTGAATTTCTCATGTTTCATGTAGTCAAATGCTTTCATATAGTCACTGAAGCATAAGTACAGATCAGTTTTTACTGCCATAGTTCTTTCTAACGGTCCTGATGATGTATATATCATTGTTTATACCTTTTCACTCTACAGATCCACATTGTTCTTCGCTAATTTCTGGTTTAATCTCGTCTCTTATTCTTCTCATAATTATTCCTTTTAAAGCGCTTTGCGAAAAAACTAATTTTGTAAGATTGTTGTGTGGGCTGAAGGGTTAAAGGAGGCAAATATTTTTGACATTCTCACCTACCATGTTTTTTGTTTGTGGAGACATCTAAATAGGTAAGGTGTTCATGAGATTCACTACTCCAAACTTTACCAAACAGCAAAATGCAATCACTAAAGAAAAAGTCTGCAGTGAGAGATGCAAGCATTTGCCTATATACATTTTGTGCTTGTATTCTCATCACACACAACTACAGATATTGTTGTGTATAATTACAATATTCAAGAAATTGTAATTTTTTTTTTTTTTAAGTATCCAGAAGCCATGAGTTGTTAACCCTTAGGCTCGGTATTATGGATACCGCAACCCTTTGGCCTTGATTCCATGGAAGAAATGTGGCTTTTCTGCCTAACCCCGGGCGTGAACCCGGACCACAAGGAGTTCGTCACCCGGTCACCGCACAATCTGGTTTAGCCAACTACGCTAGCGAGCCGGGCAAGGAATTGTTATATAAAAGTTGTCATCATAGGCAACTGAAGTTTAATTATCTGTACATAATAAATTTTTTTAAACACTCTTATTAGATGCGTTACGTTTAGTAATTTTTTGTTTCTCCATAATTTGAAACACAAGGTTGGTGGCATTGTCCCAAGTTGAGGAAACATCAGATTTATCAGATTTGGAACTTATTCAGCACATGAACATGGACTTATCTCGCCTGACAAAACTACTCAATGGTGAATCTCTTTTTGTTTATTTAATTAGCTGAGTTGTTTTCATAATTTTATACATATATAATGTACATAAACATTCATAATGTCCATGGAACTCCAATATTCCTCATTAATCTGTTCCTGAGGGAAGGATGAATATTAAAAAAGATGAATATTAAATTAATTTTCCCCATAGGATGTAACTAAAAATGGTTTCATCAGCTCCCTGTCACAAATTTTGCCTATTCTTTTAACAGAATAAACAAAAAATTATATTTTACTAGAAAATCGGATCTTGGAAATCATTGCAAATACATTTTAATTACATATTAACCACTGTACTTATTGTTGCTTCATCATTATGATTGAGGTTCACTTGTTCTCATGACTTACATTTACTACAGGCCTACATAAAGTAATACATAACTACAGTATTAAAAAAAGAAATGTACTTTTTGGATGGAAAACAATGGCAGTTGTTAGGAAGGAAGAGTTATCTCCCATTATGATTATGGTGTTTGATCTCCTGATGATTCATCAGAATTTCCAGACAGGTCACCGGCACCTGGTATTGTAAAGAAGATATTCATGTTGCTGAGACGTGTACCACTTTGAAACTTAGCTGGAATTTTCTTTTTTTTAAATTCAGTGGTGGTTCTCACCCCTTTCCCTTTTTTTTAAATAAACCATCAGTGCACTTTTTATGGCTCATTACTTTCAGTACTATATTTATTCAAAAATTAACTATACAAATTTGTAAGTATTAAAAAGAAATAATACTGCGGGCTGCGTGGATTTTTATCGTGATATGGGACGTCGCAGGTCGACCCAGCCTCAAATAGGTACCAGGATGGGCTGTCCTGGGAAAGTAAAGACAGCCAGCGTAATGCTAACCACATTACCCACCGAGTGCCGATTGGTCTGTAAAATATGGGTGCTCTTCCCATATGCCCGATGCGCCTAAGGGCGTGAAAAGGGATCTTTACTTTACTTTACTAAAAAGAAATAAAATATTCAACAACAGTTGATGCTCACATTTTCAATTACTGCTCCAGACTGAGTCAACTGACGATCTGCTGACTTGCCTGCCCTGTTGGAGGAGAGGCGAATATTGACTTTTTGGGTGAATGTCAGACAAATATTGCATTGCTACAACATTATGTCTTCAGAATGTATTTGTTGTTGCTAATTAGCTTATTAGTACAAGTCTTGGTCTATGGTTGTTTTCCTCTGATACTTATGAGTTTAACTTGGCAGAAGTTGTGTCCAAATTCAAGATGCTGAAATCTCGACCTGTGATCATTACGCTGGGACAGAATTTAGAAAAGGTAAGGTACTGAACATTTCAAAGACTGATGCAGAATTCATTCTTCTTAGACAAACTCACTTTACTTGTGTGTTTTTGAAACACTAGAATTAGAATTATTTCACTTTCTTATTTATGTGGATCATTTTTTTTATGGGACAAGTTACTGAGTTCCTTAGTACAATTCATCTGTTAGAAACAGAAAATTTATGCTGTCAGTCTATCACTGATTACTGAAAACTGATTTAAAAATCTACATAGCACCCCAGGCATACCCTTAGATGCTCTGTCTCCTGCAACAAGTGTCTTAACTCTTTGAGTCCCAGGGGGTTTAGCATCACAGGCCCGGGGGGGGGGGGGGGGGGGGGGGGGGTAATAAAGAAAGTAGTAAAATCGGCGCATCATGCGTTCATTGGGCTTCTAGGTAGGAACCTATGAACGTATGATGCGTTTCTTAGGACTCGAAGAGTTAAGGTGTAGATGCTAACTATTCCACTGGCACACTGATTATACACACATCGTTGCCTTCCTTTCATACATGCCTCCTTGCCGGATCCACTCCTAATTCCTCGTTCACACATTCTTGCATGTGTTATTTCATCTAATCTCCCGTCTTCTGTCAACATTCATTCATATATGGTCTTCAGAATATCTCCCTTGTCCAGTAGGAGTGTTCCTGTAGCTATCGCTTTTGTAGCCAGAATATCCGCTCTTTTATTCCCTTGCATATCCCGGACAGTATATCCAGGTGATTCCCTTCAATATTGGGGTGTACTGATGCTTGGTATCCACTCATGCCACATTAGTCAATTTTTAACCTTCTGCAGTATTGACTGAGTAGCAGACAGTAATTCCTCTGCTAACTTTGTTTTCTTCTATCCAAATCAGAGCTGCAGTGATTGCCTCCTCCTCTATCCCCTCGCTTGAAGTTGTAGATAAAAAAACCTCCATTTTGTTCTACAACAATCTTTCCTTTTTTTCTAGCTGAAAATCCCCAGCCCTATACCCAGATGAACAGAACCATCGGTGTACACTACTGCCTCATCTAGCCCAGCCTTTTTATCGATCAGTTGTTGTACTTCTAATTCTGCTATAGCTTTACACCACTCTCTACATTCTCTTCCTAATGAAATAATGACCTGATGGAAACTGCTGTTGTGGGTGTTTGTGTCCACCCATTCCTGCCAGCTGTGTATTTGCTTGACAAGGCCGCTGTCTTGATGGTATCTTTAGCCAGTGACATCCGTGACTTTCTTCAACTGATCTCCTCTTAAATCTTTCAGATTGCTGAGCTACGGATGCCTTTCATGGTTGGTAACTTACATATTGGCCTTGGCTTGCGCCAGTGACAGTTTAGACTTTACTGATGTCAGCCCAAGCAAAAATCAGATGTGCTGGGCCGAAAGGCACAGATATAGTAGCCTAGCTGTAAACAACAATGCCATGTGCCAAACACTCTTTTAAATGGTAAATGCAGAATAAGATTAGGAAACCAGCCGTATCTGGTAGAACATTGTCTTATTCATTTTATTTTATTATACAGAAACACAGAGGTAAAGAAGAAAGACACATTTTTTCATGATTTTATTTTTAAGTGATTTGATATAAACAGCAAGATTTTTTTATGTTTTGAAAAACACAACATTTACAACTACAGACAAAGTCACAGTGTAGGGTATGTAACAAGTAAGTTATGAAAATAATTTGTCACTTTCTTTTAGTGTTAGTTTGCGCAGAGTTAATGTTCTTGCTGTATGAAGCCAAAGTATTTTTGCCAGCAAAGTACGCAGTAAAGCAAATGTGCCATCAATATATTATGATTACTGTAAAGATTGAGGGTATTAGAAACAAAGTCAACAGAGTAAGAACTTTCTTAAAGGAATCACATAGTGGCTGTGAAATGATCAGTGGTTAACTCTGTTGCCTCACTTGAAAAAGAAAAAAAAAAAGCACACTTTAATAGAAGGTCACCAATAAATTTCTACAAAAAATTTATGAATCTGTAGTTTTAAAATATATCAGGTTTATGAAGAGGGTAATCAGTAAACATGAACAAGATGAAGCATGACATGGAATATATTCTTCTGGGCGTTAAACAACATATTATC